AGGTATTTTTCTTTGCACACAATTTTTTTTTGTTGGGAAAAGGGAGAGTGAGAGCGTTTTCTCAGCGCTCAGCTGATTTGTTTGGAATAAAAACAATAATAAATCGCTAGTGAATATGAGAGAAATATTTTTGCCCACTTTTTTCACTCCAAAATATCTTATAGAACGAGTATTATTGAGTGAAAAGTACTCAAATCTCAGGGCGCCGGCGCTGCTCTCCCCACTCAGAATTGGATTCTCTGCCGGATTGTCGCTCTCTTTTAATTTTTTGGCGTCGCGTCGCTGCCGCTTTGAAAAAGCCATCGCCGACGAATTTCCACTCATTCGTCTCTCAAATTTCGCAGCGCTCACTTCACTTTTTCCGTGCACTGCTCCCTGAAAAAAAAATAAAAATTAAAACTTGAACCGAAAAAAACAAAGAGGCGCACTAAAGTAAAAAAAAAAAACTATTAACTAAACTCTGCCGCCGCCGTCGTTGCTATCTCGTTCGCACCTCTCCGATCGCCGCGTCGTGCTTAAAAACAATCGCCGATTGACGTTTTGTTTTACTTCGCCAGCTGCCGTCGAGTTGAGTCGAAGTGCAAATAAAGTTTAAAAAAATGCTTTATATTAGCGCAAAGAAAATTACTAACTAAACAAGCCAAAACGGAACTGTAAATATTAAAAAAAAAAAAAAGCTACTCAAAAAACCAATGAAAAAGCGCTGAACAAGTAACGTTCAAAAGGTAAAAGATCAACAACAAAATAGAAACCCTTTTAAAACAAAAGTTAATAAATTACATAAAAATCCTAAAGTTTTTTTGTACCTAGTGAACCTCGTGAAAAATAATAAAAAGTCAGCAAAAAATAAAACAAGAAAAAAACAAAAATAATTGTCAAAAATAAACTTAATCACACACACACAAGCGGTGGTCTATATATTATAGAAAAAACATATAATTGCTATTTTAATCAGCCGCTGCCTGTGTGTGTGAGCGATTATCAAAATCTGAAACGGTCCAGTACAAAAATAAAAAAAAAGCAAAATTAGCATATTAAAGCCACCAAAAAAGCAAAAAACTCATTAGAAAAGTGTGCAAATGTTTGTTACACGCGGAAAGGAGAAAAGCGGTTGAAAATAATAAAATATGATCAAATTAAAAGAACAAAAACCAAAAAGTTAATTCAAATAAAAGAGACAAAGTTTTACACAACACTCGTTCCTAACCTGTAAAATCCTCAGCTGCTGCGCTGCAACTGCGACGCTGACTGCAACAAATTGCATTCTGCGTGCATTGTCCAAAATAAAAAAAAGAAAAGAAAGAAGAGTTCGTCTCTCTTTGCTCTCTTTCTTCTTGCTGTTCGCCACATTGCAATTGCAAATTTGCATTACATAAATTTGCCGAGCATTTGCATTTGTTTATTAAATGTTAATAAGCTATTTTATGGCCAAGAGTGCGTGTAATTAAAGAAATATATATTTGTGCAATCGATTACACAACTCTCAGTAAACATCAAACACAATTCTCAATTCTCCACTCTTTTGATCTCTTTTTTCTACTGTCTTTCTGTTCATTCAATTTACTGCACACACATACACAGGCAGACAATTACTGCTTTTTTAAAGGGGCCGATAAAGAGGTGGAGGCGGGGCGGGGGGAACCCGTTATTGCCCTGCAATTGAAAGAAAAAAGGAGAGCAAATTTACAGCCTCTCGCTTTTCAGACAATTTGTGTTTGTTGTCGTCCGCTTGTTTTGTTCCTCTCTTTTTATGGTCGCCGATTTTTCGAATCTCTTTCCCTGTTTTTGGTTCTTCGACGCAATTTGTTACACAATAAGAAAATTTGTTTGATTGCATCAAAATTCGAAAAAAAAAAGATTTTGCAACTCTGACAACTATTTTTAAAAAGGAAAAATGCTATATCTTAATTTCAAACCGATTCAAAAACACATTATTCATTATTCCAATCTGCAAACGATGTGTTTTCGAATTCACCTCCCACGACTAAAAAAATGTAATATCACTCCTTATACTCATTTCCCCAGCCTAAATTCCTCTTCAATTTTACGAAACTGTAAACCAGAACCGGTTAAATAGTTCATTTTGCCATTGTTACGCTTTATTTGTTTTATTTTTTTATTCAACTGCAGCTTGTTTAGTTGCCCTGGGTAATGAATTTGTGCATTTGCGAAAATCGTAGGGAAAAGGGGCCCGGCAAAACATCAGGCGATCGAGCAGCGCTGCTGACTTCGCACTTCGCAGTCTCGCACTCCAAAATCCATCAGACTCGCAATCCTCGTTTCACGTTCCACATTCCACTCAAGATGCACAGTTCAAGAGTTGAGAGATAAGATCGCGGGTGCAGTTTCTATCTGTATCTCTTATCAGTTGCTGCAGGCGTTCTCGAACATTTCATTAACTCATCAGCACTTCAAACAGCCTGAAGTGTTTGTTGCCAGTGCCTTTTACACACAGCAACGGTCGTAATAATAGCACACTATCCCAAGTTCAAGTATCGTATAGCAGAAGAAATTCAGTGAAATATCTTTATATTCATTTGTATAACTCTTCCGTAAAAAACTAAATGATCTTAAAGTCAGTTAGGGAAATCTAATTATAAATATATTTCGCTGAAACAAAACTTTTGTGTACATTATTTCTTTCAATTTGATTTGTGCAATTAACTTTGGCAAATATATCATCGCGTACAGAACTTAAAAAATGAATTTTATTGCTTATGAAATAGACTTTGTATATAGAGAATTGTAGAACCTTTAAAGTTAAAAAAACAAATTATGTAAAGTTTTTAAAACACTGCTGGCTTCATACGAAAGTTGATTTAAAAGATACAACAGATTTTTACTATACACCTTAAGCTTTGTTTTAAAGTCTTCTACGTGTTTTGAGGAACACTCCAGATAAACAAATATATACGTCCAAAAATAGCCTCGTTTCAACTGGTTTATAATGACCTTTTCTCCAACTCAAGAGTCTTACTATCATTTCAACCGTAGCTGAACGTATTTGCTTGGGTATTTTTGGGGCTTTTAATTAATAATGTGATGTAAGCCTCCTTCATTTCGGGGAGGCCTGAACCTGAATGGGGGCCAATCACCACCGGTAGAGATTGTCAGTTCTAACTGGTTGCAACTGGCCCGTGTCAGACGACAGGCGGCCTCAACAATTGGCGAGCTCAACAATGAAGATGAAGCAATTATTTAAGTGTAGCAGTAGTCCGTTGTTTAGTTGAATCTATAACTGTATATCTGTTGGGCGGGTTGTACCTTTTGTTGTCCACTCAGTGCCTTCCGGTATTATAGTGTGTGCCCGTCAGGCCAGGTGGGTGTGTTTTTGCCAGGGACGTATATTATGCGTATATTTCTCAATCGTCCTAATCAATCGATGGTGGCCATTATGCAACCAAAATTCGTATGACATTGAGCCCCCTTTCCGGCCAAAAGTGGGCTGGTCACCTTTTGAAAGAGGCGTAGATTTTTGATTGTCCACTCAAGACCCTTCACTTCAATGTCGAGCTGCCCCCATAACTATTTCTCGAACGACGTATTTCTTCTATTTCACCAGAGGGACGAGCCCCCAAAAAATATCGTTGTTGTTGCGTTTTCTACCACTGGAAATTATAAATAATACTCGGCTGTTTGTTTTGGTGCTGGCTGACGTTGGTGATATTCAGCCTCATCATGTCCAGCACTCGAGGCCGGGGAACGAATATAGCGCGGCTATCGTGCGATGGCGTCTTTATCGCCAGATCAGTCGCAGCACGCATTCCACGGGGGTTTCACGGGCGCCCCACGGGGGCTTCACGCGCTTTCCGGCTGACTCTCAGCCACTCCGTGCATGCACAGTCTGGAGCCGTCGTCGTTTACGGGCGTTTATCGCCGTAAAACGTAGCAGTCCGGCCGGAGACGCCGGGTCCGCTGATCATTTCACGTTGAGTCGGCCGATCGCTCGAATGCTATATCTTATCGGCGGAGGAGAGCTGAAAAGTTCCTACGCCAGTTGCTGGGTTCTCTCGGGATTTTGGGTCTGGGTTTCATCGGATTACTGATTACACTGCCGGGCTTATCAATCTGGGTCTGGTCCCGCTGTTGTTTTTGCTAATTTGCCTTGTAGCGGGACACACCCACCTAGCTTCGTGCTATCTATCACGACATGAAAACAACATGAACGATGCCCAGCCGTATTTTGATTTTGCTTGGATAATTGATAAGACATAGGCGGTGATTCTCGTACATCGGTTTGGCTTTGGGGAAACGTGACTTATCGGCGGGCGAAAACTTTCCAATGGCAATTGTGAAATCTAGGAAACAACCCAGAAGTCGCTAATTTTGAATAGGAATGGTCGGTGATCACGTTTGACCCAACCATGTACGGACATTTAACTGCCGTAAAGGTGCACAGAAAATATTTCCTTGATATTATTTATATTGGTTGATGATTAATATGACAAAAATTGTACACTTCAGGCTAACATTGACCTTTTGTAGAATACCTAAAAGAAAAAAGAGGATAAATACGATAACTTTTCATCTAATAAGGAAAACTTTATCTTTAAAAGGGTTAGTAAAATTAGCAAGCAGGCGATTGGCGAACATTCTTATCAAGAATGATAAGTAAGTGATATTACCTTTTTATAAAGCGATATTGTTTTCTTTTCCGTGTACTCATACGAGTAGGAGGTGAAAACTGCTAGTAAAACTCAGGAAATTCCGGCTCAATTCGGCTCATTAGGGGACCCGTAAAGTTAATTAAGTCTGGTTAATTGGTAATTACTAACCCTGAACAAGTGCCAAGCAGTTGTGGCAGCAGATTCTGGAAGGGAGTGCATTATTTGTGTGACTCTCTGTTTGTGAGATACAATGTTCAGATACTTTCAAACGAATCCCGCGAATCACTTTTCTCGCCGTGGTGTAACAAACGAGTGCAACGCGAATAAGTTACCGAAAATAGGCATTTCAATTAAACCAATTCGAAACGCGTTTTGTGCATCTTCATCTTGCAGTAATCTTGAGAATAAACATGAGATATACTCACTTGCTCAACAAACGGCGGCAAGTGAGCAAAAAGAGCACCAACCAGTTGAAAACGAGAAGGAGCCTGAAAAAGCAGCCAGTCCCGAAATCATTCTTCAGGAATCCAAGGAAACAATAGAGATCGGCGATAAACCGCCGGCAATTGAGAGCAAGGAAACAGAAAAAATCAACAAGGAAATACCTTTGGAATTACCAAGAGATAAAATAATTGCAACTGCAACTGCAACTGGAAGTGGAAGTGCAACTATACCAGCAAGAAACTCACTTATAGTAATTGCAACTGCTGCAGCTGATAAGATAAAACAACTACCCGAAAGCAATCCCTTGAAACAGATCCTCCAAGCGGAGCTGCACATCAAGCGAGAGAATCACTCGCCAGGACCGCGTACCATTACCGCCCAGCTGCTCAGCGGCCACAGCGGCAACAGCGGCAACAGCGGCGGTCTGCGTCCCGAGGAGAAGCGTCCCAAGTCGGTGACCGCTTCGGTCTTCCGCCCGAGTCCCGCTCCACCCCTAACCCCACCGCCAGCGGTCCTCTGCAAGAAGGCACCGCTCAGTGTGGAGCCTCCACTGCCGCCCACAACCACCACCACGGCGGCCATAATCTCCTCGAGCAACCAGCAGCAGCAGCAACAGCAGCAGCAGCAGCAACAGCAGCAGCAGATCCAACAACCAGCTCAAGATATGAATAAAGGATTCTGTTCGCTGTTCGCTGACGATGGAAGAGGTCTGACAAGTAAGTAGAAAACGTTTGATCTTTATATCCCAAAGTATTAATCGATAACAGGGTAACACAGAAATCTCTAGTAGTCAGTTAAACAATCTTTACTTGATATAAATTTTTAAAAATATATAAAAATGAATAAGTACTCAATATATTATACATAAACTTCACTCTGATCATGAAATTAAATTCCACGAAATATTTTAAAACAACTAAACAAGATTTCCGCGATAGCAATATTAGCATTTCGATTGATAGAGCTTTCTGTTACACCCTTTTGTAGCTATATAACTCAATTCGGTTGTTAGGGAAGGTATAGTTTAATCAGCTGATAAGTATAGAAAATAATACAAAAACAGGAAAGATTCGCGAACCACTTTGGAATACTTTTGTTTTGTGTGTGTGTTTGTGTGAAGTGCATCAGGTGCAGTGCTCTGCGTTCAAGGCTAAAGTCAACGTTTTTCAGCGACAAAACAGCGCCAACTTATACATATGCATTCCGGTTGGCTTGTTTATAAATTCTATGCAAAAATAGGCAACGACAAGAGGCAGGGAACTTAGTGACGCGCGCTATTTGATGTGATTTGACGCATTGTGCGATTTGATTGGTCAGTCAGTCGGTCAGACTGTCAGTTTGTCAGTCAGTCAGTCAGACAATCATTCTGCCAGCTAGTTGGTCAGTCATTCTGGCGATCGTCGCTTTGCTTGCTTATCTGTGGCCGCAATTTGCGCAAATAAAACTATTTATTTGTAAAGACAACAACAGCAAGAACCAACAAATACCCTGCCGCCAACCCACCGCTGAAAAGTGCATTAGTAAACAATGTTCAGTTCGCTCGCCTGATAAGTGCATACTATATAGGTATATAAAAGTACTGCCATGTATGGAGGAGTAATATATAAGATCAGGGTCTGGGTAGGGGGCGGATTCCCATTCCCATTCGTACTTAACCGCAAGCCGGTTGACGATGCAATTTCCCGGCTCTTATGTCACAGTTGCCGGCATTACGCATTCGCAGGGTAGTGCACATGGAACCCCAGGGGATCGTTTATTGAAAGATAAGAGTTTGTCGGTGTTGGGTGTTGTTTTTAACTAAAAGATCGCGGTTATGGAATTGTTCAATATATGACACTGTAAAGTGGGTTACTTAGGTAATCAATGGGATCGTTCTAATTTTAAAGTTATTGTGCATACACCGAACCGTATTTTCTTTTAGATTGATTTATTTGCCAATTGTTATAAAGGTTTAAAGGGCCTATTTAAATTCTGATCTTGCAATGAGTTATTCAGAAAAGTTATAGTATTGCCTTAACGGTTTAATGTTTGTCATTTAGGTTGAATTTAATAGCTTTTTATAGTTAGTTAATAATTTCTTTTCGTAGAACCCATAAAAAAAGTAATAACAACTTTTGTTTATGGAAATCAAAATATATTTTCCACTAGAAATCATATGATTAAATTATTTAGAAAATCGTCACCGATTGTTTGGCCCACTCTTTTCTTTCTCTATTGGAATATTTGTGTATTTCAAATGTTTTTTTGTTTTCCCCGACATCGAGTGTTCTTTTTTTTCGTTTGGTGGCAGACTTCTGCCGCCTGGTGACAAAAACAGAAATATGAATATTAACTTGAGCCAATTAATATGCTAAGCGATGTGGCTGTCATCGGGGGGAGAAGGGTCTGCAGAAAAGAGTGAAAACCGGGGGAGGGGAGAGCTGAATTTTTGGCGCGTGTGCCAAGGTCCGGCGATGGATCAAGCGGTGCTGCCACGCATATGTCGCATGTGCGCCCCTCTCCAAAAGCATCCACCCCTCCAAATTTATCGAGTATTTTCGACACTCAAGTGGACCTGCAGCCTCTAATCGCTTTCGTTTTCGTTTAGTTTGCGGCCCCTTTATGTTGACATTTTGCCGTGCCTGCAGACTCGCTTAGAGATACTTTACTTCACTTTACTTTCTTCCCACCGCGGCGTCGTCTATATTTATTTTCGTAGTGTGGAACGTAAATAAACAGGGAAACGCCTCGGCTTTATTTTCGTCCGAAATCGCTTTGCCTTAAGGGGATGGTGATGAGTGGCCAGTGTTTTTATGTAATTCTTGTCACCGCTGTTGTTTTGGTATTTTTCCAAACAACTCAAATATTCCATTCCATTAGTCTAATCAGTTAGTTGTAACACTCGATCGCTTCGATTGCCGGCTGTCCAGATACTCACATTTTCAAGGCGTTGCAGCACAGATACAGATAATCAGTGGTGTCGAATGAGGAAAGGAGGCTTCTTCTTGATGGCCAAACAAAAATAACCCGTTGATAAACAAAAACAAATGAACCACTGTAATTACCTTATGCTCTTATCCACACACCACAATCTACAAAAGCAAATATTTGTAACGATAACAGGGAACACTCTTGGCCATAAATATCAGCGTATTGGGCACTTGGCCCGATACATTTATGGGTGCATAGTCAGTGGCTGGGCAATTATGCTTTGGAATCAATATAGGGATCGTAGGGGAACGTGGACAACGCACTTCTATCGTGATTAGCACGCGTGATAAGCACGCTCATCACGACCAGAAGCACAAATAATGAATAAAAAAACAGACGGTTGGATTGGATTCTCTGCTCTAATCACCCGGGTTCAAGTTCACAGCTGATATGATGAGTCCAAATTCGATGCGAGGTCTGCTGTCGCTGCTGTGTAAATCGTCAATATTTTCGAGGCTTACATTAAACCCTGTAGTTTAGTTTAGTTATATAGCATCACAACGCCCTGTCCCCGTTTTGTCTACTTCTTCTCATTTCTGCGGGCTCTTAAGTGCCCGTGTCCGTTGTTTACATATTCCGATTCTGATTTGGAACTACGTCACATCACGAGTCGTCGTCTTCAATTGCAGATGATGACATAAATTTATTTAAATTGAAGCCGTTTTGCGCCCGGTTTCGGGTTCTCCAACTGCCCCGAAGATTCCTCGCAGTCACGCGTTGAGCATGAATTTTCGGTGTGTGTGCTAATGCGGCAACCTGTTCCCTTGAAAACTTTCGAATAAAATACATACGCCTCAAGTGCACCGAATGTGGCTCAAGTGCAGAGATGCCTTTCACAAGTGCCTCACGACCGACCTCTCATCGGTTGCACAGGCAAAAAAAGCATTGGATTCTGTTAGAGATAAACAATTGAAAAGGCATTAAAAAGGCATTAAAAATATGTATTTTTGCTTGCACCAAATAAAAACAGTTCTAACATCTCATATCTTGAAGATATATTCTGTTTTATGAATATTTATTGAGCTGGTCTGTTCCCCAATGTAATATTTTTTCCTGTGTGTCTGGGTTACTTATTGACCGGGTGACTCGATAACTGGGTGACTGGATCAGTGGGTGATGGTCAAGACTCAGCTACAGCTGCTCTGTTCTCCTAGCCTTGCGCGTAGGCCCAGTTAGCCAGTTAGCCGCTAAATGCCATTACCGGCCTTGCACTTTGGCGAAAAACAACACATTCGATGAGCTGCAATATATAGAAGCACTTTGCAAACATCTCATAAAATGCACTCCTCGATTCCGATATAGATAGACCCCCAATGGGCACTAAGTAGGAGGCTCTGTTTTCTGTTCTGTGTGTGTGTGTTGTATTATCATGCGCCATAATTTCTGTTGTTTTTTCCGCAAAAGCTTTGGCAACGTTGAGTAGCACTCGAGTGCCATAATTACAAGTCACACTGCCGGGTAGGGGCCTCTGGAAAACAGGGGCGGGACTTGCAGGAGGTTAGACCTTTTGGCGTGCATTGTTAATTAATTTGTTTGTGTCGAATGCAACGACCGCAAGAGCAAGCAGATGCCAGGGGAGCTCCAGCTACAAGCTGTGCAAATCCCTTACACACCGCTAATCTGATCTTTATTGTTTCTGCCATGAAAATGGCAACGGAATATGTTCTGCACAGAGAAAAAATTTCATTTATATTAATTAATATCGAGTAACAAAATCTAGTTGCTTAGATAGAACAACTTCTTAAGATAATTATTTATTTAAACAATGTTTTTTCATATATTCGAAAAAGCAGTATGACCATGCAGTCAATATACCAGTTAAAATTAGGTTATTACTAATTTTAAACTGTATATTTCCTATCCAGAAGACTTAAAATGAGCCAAGTGAGCAATAAAATTATATTAAATAGATATTATAGATTTTTCTCTGTGCAAAATGCATTAGCTAATTCGAGTGTGGGCTGCTAAAGAGGTGCAAAACCATTCCAGGCAATCTGCTTACTATATTCTGGCTTATATGGCTGCGCAGTGGCAGTTGCCGCATTTGGGATTTATCCGTATTATATATGGCTTTTTGATAGAAATAAGCTGCGCTGCTGAGCCAAAGGCAAACAATGCACTCGCACTCACACTCACACTCACACTCACACTCGCACTCACATTCACAAACTTGGACTTGCATTTGAAATTCTATTTAGCCTGCGGTCTCCGTTGTTTTAGTTAGTTTTTCATTTCCATTTTGCAACTTAATAGTCGGCACACACAGGCAGTTAAGACCAGTTTTATTAGCATATCATCTAGTATAGCGAACCCCATGACGGGAATGGGAATGGGATTGGGATTGGGATTGGGATGGGGATGATAACTGAGGCTCGGCATAGTTGTTTAACAATTTCTGAGTGGACTCAGATGACGCACAGTCCAATCTCGCAAGGAAGATCGCCCCTGGTTCAAGACCCCGACTGATTAGCACCGTTGCACCTGATTTGGGGCGATGCACCCGATAGGTTTTTAATTCCGTAATAATAGCCAGCTCCGGCGATCACAGCGATCTTGAGTTCCTGTTTCAGGAACGTTTGTTTTTCGCCAGCTTCGCTTGCACTTATTCCGCGTACGTCAATAGGCCCAAAATGCTGATTAATGAGTCGCCGGGCCATAAAAATCATGGTTCTGCTTCGATTCCAGTGCGATGGCAATTGGAGCGACTAATTCACGAGAGAAGCACATTGCCTTCAATTAGATTCAATTGAGAGCTGTCAATTAGAGGCGACTTCGGCGAGCGATAATTGAAATTTCGGCAGCGCACCAGCCAAGGGTTTTATTCGGAGCAGAGTTAATTAACAGTAGGCAAACCGAATTGAGCATTGAGATGTAGCACCCCACCGCGAACTATGTGAAACCGCCACTAACTGCATCTTTTTCTATTCCGTTTCAGTGCTTAAGGAGGAACCCGACGATCTGTCCCACCACCTGGCCTCCACCAACTGCATTCAGCTGGACGAGATCACTCCGTTCAACGACATGCTGGTTGGCCTCATGGGCTCCTGTCTGCTGCCCGAGGACATCAACTCCCTGGACTCGAACACCTGCTCCACGACGGCCAGTGGCCAGCACTACCAGCACCAGAGTCCCAGCAGCAGCAGCAATTCAGCAACTAGCAACACCAGTAGCAACAGCTATGCCAACAGTCCGCTCAGCCCGCTCACACCCACTCCCACGGCAACGGCCAGCAATCCCAGTCATCAGCAGCAACCGCAGCAGCAGCAGCAGCAACACAACCAGCAGCAGCAGCAGCAGCAACTCAACCAGCAACACCAGCAGCAGCAACATCACCCCCAGCACCACGACAACAGCAATAGCAGCAGCAATATTGATCCGCTGTTCAACTACCGCGAGGAGTCGAACGACACAAGTTGCTCCCAGCACCTGCACTCGCCCAGCATCACAGCAAAGGTAAGTTAATTAAAGATTTTCTAAACTTGAAGTGCCCTTTATAACCTATATATATCTTGTTATAAAACAGAGTCCCGAGGACAGCAGCCTGCCTTCACTGTGCAGTCCCAATTCGCTGACCCAGGAGGATGAGTTCTCCTTCGAGGACTTTGCCATGCGTGCTCCCTACATCCCCATCGGCGATGATATGCCCCTGCTGACAGAGACGGATCTCATGTGGGGTCCGCCAGAGGATCTGCAGATCTCCATGGTGCCCAAGGAGATCGATGCCATGCAGCAGCAGCTGCAACAGCTGCAGCAGCAACATCACCAGCAGTACGCAAACAATACTGGCTACCAGCCACAGCAGCAGCAACAACATAATCAGCAGCAGCAGCAGCATTTCTCCAATTCTCTGTGCTCATCGCCGGCTTCAACGGTCTCTTCATTGTCGCCATCGCCAGTGCAGCAGCAACATCAGCAGCAACAGGCGACGGTCTTCACCAGCGATTCCAGCGAACTGGCAGCATTGCTGTGCGGATCCGGCAATGGAACGCTTTCGATCCTGGGAGGAAGTGGTGTAACTGTGGCGGAGGAGATCAACGAGCGACTCCAGCAGCAGCAGCAACATCAGCAGCCGCAGCAGAGTGGCAACGAGTTCAGGACTTTCCAGCAGTTGCAGCAGGAGTTGCAGTTGCAGGAGGAGCAGCAGCAACGTCAGCAGCAACAGCAACAACAGCAGCAGTTGCTCAGCCTCAGCATCGAGTGCAAAAAGGAGAAATACGATGTGCAAATGGGAACCAGTTTATGTAATCCCATTGACGATGCATTCGAGAATGACTACAGCAAGGACTGTAAGTATCTTTGGGTTGAGGATGGGTAAATAGTTGGTGTTCAAATAGGCGGTTTAGCTTGGGTTTTCCGGAAAAATAACTTACTGAAGGGCTTAGTAGAAGAAAGGAAAATATATTTATTAACAGGAAGCAATGTGTGAGAATCTAAAAACAGTGGTAAAAATTATAAAAACATCAAAATAAATAGAAGAACTAATAGTTCAGAAGTTAAATTAATAAAAAACTATTTTTATAAATAACTATTTTAATAGATATTTAATTCTATAGACTATATCAAAGAAATTAAATTAAGGACTATAAACAGAAATATCAACTCTTAGAAAAAAAGAAGGCACATAAAAGAACAAAAATATTTGAGCAATTGATGGTTAATTATGGAGTGGAAACTTTACGACACTTTCGTTTGTTTTAATAGAAAGACACTTTTGATAGATCTAACAGAGCTGAATAGATTGATTTACGGTCCCTTGGGACTGTTTTCCCCATTGGCTTTTGAAACATTCCACAAAGTCGCCTCCTGGCTCTTGGAAAGGCCTAATTTTATGGCAGTTCCTCGGCTAAAAATAACCGTGGAAACTTGCTTTATTTTTTATGATATGCTGCCAACGCACACGCTCGCTCTCCAACGCCTACATGTAAAAATAGAGGCAAATATAAAGAAAATTTCGGAATTTCTGTTGCGTGTCGCGCAAGATGTCACTTGGTTTTTGGGTAGGGTTTTTTTTTTTGTGGGTGGATTGCGGGAGAGCTAATTGATGTGGGTCTACCCCTCAGCTCCAGTGGTTTGTAAGCGATTTGCGTAATTTTCACACATTGCTCTCTTACCTTTGACACATGTCACGGTGCCGTGAGGTCTGTGATTGATGCCCAGAAAGTGGCGGAGTCGGTGACACCAGCTCCTGGCCCCGTCAATTGTATTGACTGCAAGTGCTGGGTCTTATGACAGGCAGTACAACGAGGGGTGTTCATTGACAGATGCCTTTAGGCCTTTATGAATTTTTTTTACTAGCTAATCGCGCCTGATTTATGCCGCACACACCAGGCGAAAAAAAAAACGAAACAAACTGTAGATATTAGCTACTTATTGTATAGATACCAAGAAACAGAGACAAAGACAGGCAGGTATATATATTTATATATATGGTTGTATAGAATGTGCTCAGTTATTTATGTGCAGAATGTTTGCGGCAGCCAAATGTTATTGTTTTAAATTAGCACCAATGTCATGGACAAAGGAATTAATTTTTGGCTGGCATTCGAATCTATAAATTTGAGGATTATACTGAATATTTCTTTGAAAACTTTATTTATTTATTACTGACTCTATTTGACTTTGCCTTTTATTTTAGCCGCTAACCTGGACTGCTGGGACCTACTGCAAATGCACGTGGCCGAGTCGGCTCCCGTGAGTCCCTCCTCACCTGCTCCCTGCAAGGTTACCACCATTCAGTTGCTCCAGCAGCAACAGCAGCAACTGCAGCAGCAGCAGCAGCAGCAGAATATCATCTTGAATGCAGTGCCATTGATCACCATTCAGAATAATAAGGGATTGATGCAACAACAGCAGCAGCAGGAGCAGCTGCAGCAGCCGGGTTTGAAGCTTCTAAATGGAGCGCCGGTGACCACCAAGGCCACCATTCGCCTGGTGGAGAGCAAACCAACCACCACGACGCAGCAGCGAGTGGCCAAGGTGAACCTCGTCCAGCCCCAGCAGCAGCAGCATGGAAACAAGCGACACCTGAACAGCGCGACAGGGACAGGAAACCCTGTGGAATCGAAGCGCCTGAAGAGCGGCACCATCTGCCTGGACGTGCAGTCGCCACAGCTGCTCCAACAGCTGATTGGCAAGGATCAGGCTCAGCACCAGACGCAGGCAGCCAAGCGAGCGGGCAGCGAACGCTGGTCGCAATCGTCGGAGAGCAAGCAGCAGAAACAGCAGCAGCAGCAGCAGCAACAGCAGCAATCGAACTCGGTCTTGAAGAATCTGCTGGTCAGCGGACGCGATGTAAGTGCCGGCTACTGCATTGTGCCCATGCGGCCCAAGAAGCAGCTGGCCAAGGTCTAGAATCTATCGATAAGAGACCTATACCCGCCTCTCAATTAGCTAATGGAAGCACCACCCACAGCCGGCTATGATTAACAAAACCCAAGGATTGTTAGGCTAAGCGAATGGACAAGCCCATTTCTACAATTTGTCTTTGTAAATGGATCGATTTTATATTGCTAGAAACTAGAAAATACGACTACAACTGCATGAGCTAAACTACTGTAAACTTTAAACTGTAAACTGTAAACTGTAACCAACAGAGCAACCTCCTCCCGCTGCGAGAGGAAGGCGGGCCTAGTTTTAGTCCGTTTTTGTAGTCCCTAGACCTTAGTCGTTAGATATATATGATATAGCGGATAGCTCTAGTCTAGATGTGTAAGTGAGCTGCAAGTTGCAGCTGCAGCGTGGACTTTAAAATTATAAATTTGTAGACTATTCAAAATAGTGCTAACCGACCGAACCGGAACGATCCAAACCAATCCAATCCAATCCAATCCGATGCGAACCAGAGCGATTGGTGATCGATAATTATTAAGTTGTAGCTTGGCGCGATTTGTTGATTTCATTTTAAGTTACAGACCCTAAGACATAAGCCGTACGTACGCCTAAGCAAGTTGTTAAAAATCTTCTGTTCTGTTGAGCAAATTCTGTTGTACATAAGCGAGGAGCGGTAGGATTATACTATTATTCGAGTAGCTATAGCGAGTGATCAACGCGCCGTAGACGAGAATCATCACAGCGGATCGCAGACGCACAATCCGGACGTAGGTTTTTAGCGATGTAGAAGATGAGTGGAGGGAATGCGAATCAGAATCAGAGAACGATTGCAATAAAATTGTAAACTATATAAATTCAAATACGGCAACTTTAAGTTTTTTACTGTGATAGCATTTGCTTTTGTTGTTTGAGTTACCGGCATCCATCAGGTTTATGTTCTAGACCTTATCCCTATGATTTCTGTTAACTTATTCGAGCAATTTGTTAGATGTGTAAGCTTTGACTGAGCAAAAAGCAGCAGCAGCAGCAGCAGTGCAGGAATACGGATATATGAAAGATATGATTCAAAGACAGGAAGCGTTTGTTTTCGAGTTCATTTTTGGCCTTTTTGTTGTTGTGCATTTGGAATACCACCAAGGAGCACAAGCAGATAATCCATGTAAATTGTCAAAATTTGTGAACGAAAAGTAGCAAAATTGAAAACTGAAATTCGAGCGCTGAAGGTACAAAACAAAAAAGAGAAAAGGAAATCCCTATAGGAAAGTTAAAAGATGAAGCAACTTTAAGCTAGGCAAATATGCACACTAGTTCTAGTGAAAAGTCAAAACTAAACAAAAACTACAACACATATACATTGAGCAACTATTAGCAATTAAAGAACAATCCTCGTGTTGTCAGCGTTTTCTATCGCAGTGTAGATACGCCAGCGCACACACACACACGCATATATAAATATATATATATAGAGATATACCTAGAATTAGTTGTATAGACATAGTGCGTAAATAGAACAAACCTCGGGTCGCCACTGAAGCTTTAACCTGGCAGGAGATTTCGTTTCTTATTAGTTGTCGTTTTAATTTAGTTTGTAGTTCCTTTGTTTTGTTTTTATTAGCGTTAAATACACCTAAACGAAGGAGAAGTCAATTTTCCAATAACGAAAGAAAAAACCAAAAAACATTATCCAACGTTGTGTTTGTTTTGATTTCCCTTATTATTTGTTCTTTTGGGGCCCTTGAATATTTAAAAAAAAAAACCCCCCCCTATTGATTTTCCATCGTGTACTGACCTACATACTTGAAGTGGGTGGTGGAGGCTTTGTGGTGTGTATATGCCAACCAATTTCTCATTGTGTCGCCCGGCAGCTTAATTAACTTTCTGAGACTTGTAACATAGCGATGGCGTGTCTGACGCACATCGCTGGCAATACGAAACCGAAATCATAAATATCCAGCTGGCAAATATATAAAGCTACGGCGGCAGGCAAACAAATTTACACGCAACTAATAACCCCTCTTTCGGTTGGGAATTTAAAATGCCGAAACTCCCACTATTGACACGGCTTTAGTCAGGCCATTGAATTGGGATTTCTGCCCTTTTCCTCCTTTGACAAACCGATAAAACCCAGAGGCAGCGCGTGCCGCATTCTAGCCTGAGTTTGGGCTTCACATTCGTATTGATTTTGCACCTCCAACTCGGTGTGGTAGTCCTCCCAGAAACCAAACAACCCGGTTCTATCCTTTGCCTGCTTTACTTTCCTTTTCGCTGCGCACAGCTGACGCTCTTCGCTGCGATAGTCCCTTCACTTTCACTCTCACTCCGACTTTCACTTTTCACTTTCCTCTCTCTTTTATTTCCGAACTCTCTCTCTCTCTCTTTTGTTTCACCGCACGTGTCTCTTATGTGCTGAAATACCCCCGGGTTTTTGGTTTACTACTCGACTCGCTTTTTATGGCCTACACGAGCTACCCACTCTGGACTACGGACTAAGGACGACGGACGACGGACTCCGGACTTTTTGCGTCACGGCTGGCGCTTTTCCGTAGTCCCTGCATTAATGAATCGCCCCGACGAGGCCGTAATTGGCTGCAGCTTCTCCGGAACCGGAGACCCAATTTGCATTATTCTCGGGCGACACATGTGTGTGTGTACGTGGCCAAATATTTGCTCCCTACTTAGGAACGTCCTATGTCCCCCTTTACTTTATTTGCTTTATTTACTTTGCGACTTTTTTCCTTTTGTTTGTCCAGGCAAAAAAGCTTCGCTGGTTAAATAGAACAATTCATAGTGGAAATTGCCAGATAGATCAGTTCGTAACCGCATCTACCTCGTGTGGCAAAATCAAAAATAAATGAAACTAAAACTGAAACCGAAACTACCTCCGGATCAGCCATCAAAATAGTAACCTCAACGAAAAACGAAGGCCAAAAAAAGAAAAAAGACAGACGGATGTAAAAACCCAGGCGCCCCACTAGTAAATTTTACTTTTAGCAAATTGACAAGCAATCCTCGAGATATTAACTAGACAAATACCAGATAACTTAGCATATATTCCTCTCGATAATCATTTAGTCAGAGCTCCAAAGTGGGGTCTTGAGAATATTTGAATAATTATTATAGCCCAAAAAGACTGCGAGCCGAAAACTCTGAAAAATTATATACACATAGCGCGGAACTTATACTTTTAGATCTAAGCAGGGATGTAAATAAGGAAAGTTATAGAACGAGGCGGAAAAACACCAGAAAAGCTAGTAAGCTAGGAAAACTCTCAAAATTAATCGATGTGGCTTTAACTAAACATAAACTATAGGTCTCCATGCATGGGGAGTAGCCAGTAATCTGCCTAATATATAGCTACGATATCGAGATAGTATTAACTAAACCCCGCGCAAGTCAAATTCAAATCGACTAACGATAACAATAACAATAACGACTTGGTAGTAGACGATCACGGATCCCAATCATCACATTTAGTTGAAATTTTTCGCGTTACGTATGACAGGTGAAGAGGGAGGCCAGGAAAGGAAAGAGGAGGGAACTGAAGTTGGGTCAGATGCAGATGCAGATGCAGATGGGTAGCTTTATCGCGACGGAGTGCAAAATCGGGAACGAGAATCGAACAGAAAGTACATACAATACCACAAATATACCACATATACCTCAGTACATGCATAAGTACGATCGTGTAGGTCGTTCGGGGGAACTTTCCCTCGATCGGCGCTTACTTACATACCTCGTGTATACATATACATATAACATTAACTAAAATATACATACATATACATACCTATCCTAAAAGCATATGCCTATTCCGACTTTTGATAGTTCAATACACCTTAGTGAATGTTGTGCGACCCTTTGATAACGAGCGTTTTTTACTACCTCCAATTCTTGTTGTGTGTGTCTCGCATTTATAGCAAAGAATTAACTAGAGCCCCCAAAACAAAAACCTAAACCTAAACTAAAACTAAAACTAAAACCTAAACTAAATTAAAGCGAAAGCAAGTCTAGAGCAAGTAAATTAAAGTAAACTAAACTAAATGTTGTGTAATTTTTATAGCCTACTTATGTGCGTCGAATACCTCGAAAAAAGCTTCAGTAAAGTAACGAAAAGTAAAGTAAATTTAGTGAAATTTTGTGAGTCACCTCAACACACAGACAGCCTGCCCCTATGAAAATACAGATTTATTGTGCAACTTTATTAGCTGTAATTTCGGGCCAGCAAATGAAGACAGCCCCCTCCTAATACTGTACACACACACACACCCTTGACATATCCGTTTACTGTAGCTCTCGTTTTGGCCAACTCATCATAATTCAAGAGAAGCAGTCAAGGTGACAAGCACTTTGTGTGCCTTGCAATTGATTTGGCGGCTGGCTGATTTTGATTAATGCTATCGTTCTCCCCGGGATTGTGAGTCATCTTGGCTTCCCAATCCGAGCAGTCAATTTGAAGTTCATGCGGAGCTATTCCCACTCCCGTTTGGCCTTGATTAATTGTGCTGGCATTATGCAAAATTATATTATGATTGCCAAAGATCAACAGGTCGTAGTTGTATCTACAAAAGTAACCTTTGCCCCGACGCTCGTTTGTCAGAAGTGGCGAACAAATGAAGAGTCATTTTCATGGGGCATTTGCTTTTATTTGCCATGCCAACAAATCTCTTCAGCCTCCGCCGGTTAATTTGCAACAATTACTTGTGTTTGTCGACAGACTAAGCTGCTTATATTGTTATGTGAGACCCAAAAAAAGGAACCCCTTTCCCACACGAACAACACACACGAACAACACCGAGAATACCTCCAGTCCCACAAGATGTTAGTGTAATTTGAAAGCGTAGAGCGAAACTAGCCTTGAATTAGACTCGAAACGAATCGAATCGAATCGATCCGCTATGTAAGGCAAAAACTAGTGTGTAAACGCCGCAAAGTATGCAATATTATACATATATACACCTATATACATAAATATATATATATATATATACAAGATGTCAAGCAACTTATACATATACAAGCGAATGTAGTACGATACGATATGGCATATGATATGATATCTGGATTATAAAGTATTTTAATAAACTTTTAATAAATATTTTAGTAAATCCAATAAAACAATAAAGCCGAAACCCCAGTGAATCAACTGATACAGCAGATAAGAGGAAAACGTCTCGGAGAAAAGCTGGGGATTTGTGTTTTTCTTTGGAAAAGTATGAGCTGGAATGGGCGTCGTCGATGTTTACAAGTTTTTCCTTCGATTTATGTGCATACATTGGCCTTCGGGCATATTTGTATTGACAGGCCGGTCCGGGGAATTGATTAATCTCCATTCGGCATTTTGTATTTGCCTGCTCTCCACCAGTCTCTCCACTGACTGGCAATTTATTAAAATCTTTTGATTGGAATAAATGATGCTGCCAGCTAATCAAGTTGCCCCAACTTGTCCTGTCTCTGGAATTGAATTCCATTTCCTTCTATTGTCTTGCCTCTTCAAGTCAAACACTTAAGTATGCCGAGCACATCCAAACACACGGATAACTTTTCTCTCTTATCTTGAGATTTTCGTTTTACTTTCTGGCCAAATTTAAATCTTTCGCTTCGTTTGCCTGCAAATAAATGACGAATTTTCGTCACACACGAGCGCTGTGTTGAAATTAAATTCCGCAAAACATTCTTGCCACCCTCCATTTGTTGGAAATATACCTAGCGACAATTGCATTACGTATACGCCACAATGTCTCCTTGGCCGATATGGCTGCATGAGTTATTCAAGTTTATTGCTTATTGATTTCGGGCCCCAGTTTTCAATTTCAATTTCACCTCGTTATGGTGGGTCTGGGGAAATATGGAGGCCAATCCTTTCGAGCGTTTTCCCAGAAGCCTTCCGTTGCGTAGTATTACGCAATAAGAGTCGAGTTTAAGAAAATGTTACTGTAGTCCTTGAGTACATTTGCTGCCTACTTTTTCTTTTTATTATGCGGTGACAGCAGATTTTTCTGCAGAAAGTTGTTGAAGCAAAGTTTCCCTTTAATTGCTTTTATTTTTCTATTGGACTTTGGTGGGCCATGTGGGCGTGGCACGTGGCGTCGATGAAATGCGATGCCATAAAAAGGAAAAATCCAATTAGACGGCTTTAAACGCAGACGACTGCTGTGCTGCAAAGCCAACTCAGCAGAACACTGGGGAAATCCGCCATAAAGTCGGCGCAAAGCTGCTGCCTAAGACATCAAATTGAGGGAGCGAAGGAGGACTGCCAATTATTGTAATGCCTTGGCATTTCCGGAAACCTTTCACACGGACAATGCCGTTTTTATCTAATAGTTTTGCCTATTGCGTGGCAGCAATTGCCTTTAATAATTTATTGCAGCATATTAGACCAATGCTCGAGTCCTGGCAGGCATGCCACACAATATATCAAACAATAAACCTATTACACGGGCTCCTACTTTTTCCATCGATGTCCTGGGGGGCATTGCGCGTGCCACTGGAGTTTCTCATCATTTCGTTACGCATACGCCCTGTCACCCGTGGACAGGGAAACATGTTGTTGGCTGTTTCCCATTGCCTTCGATGATAAAATGCCCGAAGCCGTGGGTTCTTTCTGAGACAGATGTCACTGCTAAGACTTTCACTTTCATTGTCTTCCGTTTTGTTTGCCCATCGCTCAACTTACAGCACTTTCTATTTCATTCCCTAATTGCTGCAATTAGCACTAGCTGCAATCGAAGACCAACAGTTCACGATAAAAGCATGGCAAACAGAGGACAGGGATGCGGTTCAATGGACTGCACTTGAACCCTTGCCCATTGGTCATCATCACACTCGTCGCTTAATTTTTGGCAACTTTATCATCGTCATTGGCAGTTGTCAAAGCCTGCACTGGAAATCATTTGTCTTTAAAAGATATTTAATTGGGTACTTATTTAACTTAAGAAGGAACAAATGATTTTGAGATGCTACAAGTTATTTTGCAGATTTTGCAGGCAAGGTCACACTGCATATTTTGTATAGATTGGTCACACTTTTAAGTTTTTTAATGCCTCTATATCTTAGGTAATATTTGATCAAAACTTCTACGACAATATGTTATTTTCTCTGTTCAAAAAATGCAGACGGCGGCTTGGCAGCGGTCGAAATTGATATATTCCCCACTTCCTGTCAGTCTGACTGACGGGAATGGAAATGCGCACTGACTGGTGGCTCTTAAAGCGAAAGTGGGGGCGTTCTTTGTGTCAATCCAAAATCCCGAGCATAATAATGTCCCGCCGCTGGATTCTGTTTCAACGCTAGCAGCGGGACCCATTCCCAACCATCATTAAAATATGATTTATTGCGGGTTTCCCAGCCCCATCCACCGACTTTGGGTTGGACTTTCCCGCTTTACTTTTCTCCGGCTGAGAGCTTCCCGCTGTTGCCGTCTTTCCTGGGGCTTTCCACAGGGACTAGGGCTTGAGCCTTTTTAAGCGAGTGACTTTAAACATCTTCATGCCGCCGACTTAGCCCAGTTTTTCCGCTCAATTTTCATTTGACTGTCAAGGTATCAAAATCTCCCTACAGGTCTCAGCGAGTTAATAGCCGGCATTTGCATAGGAATAGGCACGAATCTCAGTCAAAAGTTACATTCTCCAGGGAGATTTGGGGAATAATTTGTCTGCAAATCGGTTAATTTAAATTAATTTACGCACTGATTTAGGTACTTAAGTTATAATTGTAATTTCAATTGTAAGCTATTAGTTATGAATACCAATAAGTTAAGAGTAATTAAGGCAATTAAGAAAATCGATCCATTTACCACAACAAATTTGTAATAATGAATCCTTGGGTAAACCCCTTTCAGCTATGGAGTGCCTTCTACACAGAAAGAAACTTGTGTTAAATAAAATAATTAACTTTGAGTTCTATCTTCAAAAGATGTATTAACGATGTGTACAAACTGATTTTATATTTCGGCAGTATAAAGTTACTTTCTGTTTATTTTTTTGTATATCAAATGAAAAAAACCTTTTACTAATGTATTGTTTTACTTTCTCTCTTTTCCTTTTCTGCCCCAAAAAACAGGGTAGCGAATCCGAGCCTATGATGATAGATGACGACAACCACTCCATCGGCCAGTCAGTGGCTCTGGGCAAATACGCTTTGCCCCTGCATTGCCACACCTCCACGTCGGCGGTGTTGCGGGACTATCACAACAATCCGCTGATCAGCGGCACCAACTTCCAGCTGTCTCCCGTCTTTGGGGGCTCAGATGCTGGAGGAGGTGACTGTGACGCCAGGTCGGTCGTGTCCCTGGATGATTCGTTGCCTCCGGGCTTGACGGCTTGCGATACGGATGCCTCTAGCGACAGTGGCATCGATGAGCACAGCCTGGTGGATGGGGCATCGGGGTCACCTCGTAAACGGCTTTCCCTAACTTCCACCACCAGTGAGCAGGCAGAAACTGCACCACCGCCCCTGGATGCGGTAATCCCAGTGATCCAGCAGGCGGGTGAAGAGGAGCTCGAGACTTGTGGCCCCAACAGTAATGCCCCCAGCAGCAGGAAGACCTCCATTTCGTTCCTGGACAGCAGCAATCCCCTGCTGCACACGCCGGCGATGATGGACCTGTGCAACGATGACTACATCATGGGCGAGGGTGGCTTCGAGTTCAGCGACAACCAGTTGGAGCAGGTCCTGGGATGGCCAGAAATTGCTTAGGTTTAACGCCTTTGCATGCACTGCATTTGATGAGAGGGCATTTGTTTTTGGGCTGATGAGGAAAAAAACATTGAAATTAAACTGAGCATCGAAGAAAAAAGCTAACCAAAAGATTGATTTTGAGCCTTGCGTGAAAGTAGTACCCCAAAACACCACCCCACCCACGTACACACCAAACCCCCGAACGAACACTTGACCCCTGACCCCATGCTAACCGACACACATTTACAAACAGGAAGGGTTAATCACACTTGAATAGTTTTGTAGCCATGTTAACTGCCTAGAACAGAAGAATATACACGTATGTAATTTAGTCTTAATGTTTTTCTATATGCAAACCATTTACACAACAACAACAACAGGATGAGGAGCAATTTAGCAGCGGAGAAGGCGTACCAGTCGAAAAAATAACGATAAACTTAAAAATATACGAAAAGAAAATATCTTGAAAAAAAATGTTCATAGTTTTTTGCTAGAAGGCTCAAACAAGTTTTTTGGTGATGGTTGTATTCTGTTTTATAACTTTCAAGCGGAAAAGCTGTGACGAAAAAAAAAGTTTTTAAACATGTTTTACAATAAAATATAAAAAATCAAAAACAAAAAAAACCCAAAAAAAATATACAATAATGTAATTCTTAGTTTAAGTCATTAATTTCAATGTTTTCAAATGCTACAATGAATGTTTGTAGAAATTATAATATTTTAATTTTAATTATTTAAACTAAGTAAATATCTATTCAATTCAGTTTATCTTAACTTTCAGGCTATACTTTGTGCATTTCTTATAAAGTTATCTTTGTGTCAATCATTTTCAATAATTTCTCGATTTCTATTATCAATTGATTACCGATTGTTTATGTAAAATTAGTTTTAGTTCTGTTTAAGGCGCATCATACACAACAAACTGTTTGCTTGCTCTAATCCAAATCACTTCAATGTTCAGTGTTTTTAAAATTGTTTTAATATTAATTGGCAAAATAAATATAGAATTCATTTCGATGAAAGTTGCATGCAGAAAATCTGTGCTTCGTTTTTTTATTGGGTAGTGAATTGGATTCCTTTTATAGCATTTTATGTACGGTATTTAATGGTAAGTAACTTAACTACATTCGCCGTTAACGTTGAATTCGCCCCCACATTTGTATCCATGACGCAAACCATAGACGTATGAAACATGTAGAATTCATGTATAAATCTGTAACATTCATGGAAATAAGACGTAGAACCCGTTGTATGTAAGTAAAACGAAAGAAAATAGGTATTACATGTTTAATAAAAAACAATAAATTTAATTGAGTGGTATAAGAAATTAAATTAAATCCTATTTAAACTGCACATTATTGCGCAAGAGCTCCAGGATTTGTTCTTCAGGAGCCGTCCATTTGCAGGTCGGATACGTAATGGTGCAGTGATTGCTCGATATGACCTTTCCAGCTTCGATGGCCTCACGGAAAGCGGATTGCTCCAGCCATGCCATCAGCCAAGGCCATTTGGTGGCTCCATCCAAAAGGTGTTCCATATCCGTGGCCCCGCCCTTTATCACTTTTTGTCCTGCGCTGTAAGTCAAAGTGCAAATGGATTTTAGCAGGCACATGGATAGATCCACATCGTTCTTGAGAAACGTTCGCTCAACGACTCCCAAAATATTGGGAAGACTAGTAGCTGAGAAAAGAACGAGAAATTAATTGGATTAAAAGGTAACAAAATAAATACACAATCATTTTGTGCTAAATAAACAATTTAGTATTTAGTAACTTACCCACACGATCTCCAGTTTCATTTCGGTAGATCAGCTTAAAATTGTCCAAAAATCCAGGAAAGCTCAAGCTCTCATCGTCAAGTTTTCTGGAGGTGGCATTGGCAGGAATGGGTGCCGGTGTAGAGTACGAAGCATCCTCCTCCGAAGATTTTGGTTTAAGTATAGAAGAATTCCCGAAAATTGGACGATTTTCATCTCCTGTGATGGCCTCCAATCCCAAGCTGCGTATGATGTGTCCCACAAGGACTCCACCTACAACCACAAGTCCACAGCTCACAACTGCCGCCGAATTGACTATAACAAGTGGCTAAAGCAGAGGTATTTAAGGTATTTAAGTATCAATCTAGTCAAAAATTAGTTAATAAGTTTTAACACGGTTTTTCAGACACACTTTTTAGGTTAAATATTTTAAACACCTACCTTCGGTGGAGCATTTCGCTTTCTTTTGACAGGCACCTCTAGAAAAGGTACTAGATAATCCAAGCCTAAGGCGATGTTTTTGCCCACTGCATCGAAGGATATAAGCTTGAATCCCTGGCCAGGTTGGTTCCTTGAGCTGTGCTGCTTGGGCAGTTTTACCGATCCTTGCTGCTCCTCACCACTGGCAGCCCAAATAACAGCAAAACTCGCCAGGAGAGCACAGGTCAGGTACAATAGCTTCATTTTTCCGCTGGCAGATCCGTCTGGATGGGCTGTCGCCGAACATTTGAATCAATTTGCCAGGCGGTGTCACCAGCACACTTTTCATCCAACACCGCCGATCTGCTTCGATGGCTTGCCTATGCACTCAACAAAATTTGTACATTTTTGCGATAAGATAATTTTAACATTATGCTATTATTAAATTCATTAAAAAAAGTGTTAGTATTATAAATATTAAGTGTTTTTGTTCATTTTAAAATATATAGTTTGCAATTCTCCCGTTTTTGGTTTTTCGGAAAATTTTGAATTGTTATATTTAAATATCATAAATTTTAAAACAGATTGTGGTGAGTACTTTTTAATTAATACTTTGGAAGGAATAGTCGAAGAGTCAAATGAATTTTCAAATTATTTTTTGTAAAATAAAACATTAAGTTTTATTATGGTGTAATTGCCGCTTGGCTGGCTCTTGGTTGCTATAATTTTCGACTGAGACTCCAGTTCCCACTCGTGTCTTTTAAACAAAATGCAACAAATTGGGGAGTGTGACATAACTGGGATGGAGGTGGGAAAACGATTAGCCAGAGGAAATGTCGGGCCAGATGAAAGCGGATGATGGCTACGGCTACCTTCTCTAATTGGGGGAGAAGTGGAAGAAATTACGCTAATTTCCCGGCATTTCCATTGCATAAACAAACATTCGTTGGTGGTAAACAAAAATGCTGTCAAGTTTTTGATATTTCTTTTTCTTTATTTTATTTGTTTTGAAAACTATTAAATTGCAGTTTTAATCTCAAATTATTTAGTTCTTAGAGTAATATACTAGGATAAAATAAATAGGTAGTGTTAATCGTATTTTAAATAGTGTTTATGGTAGTTATCCATTAAAAAACTTGAGGACTTGGGGTAAGCCTCCAGACTTCTTGTTAAAGTGGTTCGGCCATCGACAGCTTTGATAAGTGTGAGTACAACTGCGACTGCTCCTTGAGGATTGAATGGCATGGAAAACTGCAGTTCCATCAACAAAAGAGTGAATCCAGGGAGGACTGTAAATTAAATAAATAATTATTCCATTTTTGAACATTGTTCTAAACTAAAGATGTCTTGCCTGGTCAACACATTTAGAGCCCTGGCATATCCAGAAGACAGATTCTTTTGCAGGTACTGGCAGATCATCCGCTGCACACAAACAGACATGTCGATGTTGTGTTCCTCCAATTGTGATTCCACTACATCAGTCAGCCGGCGCACTAAATAAGAATTGATTTGTTAGACTTAATTTGCGATTTATCTTTCAACTACTTACTGCCTCTTTCTGGATCAGATTTGTAGCCATAACCATTGCCTACAGAAGTGATTACAAGAGGGGCTATGAGTAGTCGTACTACTGCTGCAATCACTGCTCCTGCGGCCACCACAACGGCTGTGTTTATTATGGCTCCAGTTCGTAAGTTAAGGACATTCTGGATAGCATCGCGGGCCAGGTTCATGCTCCTTTTCACAGGTATTTTGAGGAACGGTACGATGAACTCCAGTTCCACACTGACATCCTCGCCGCTGGCATGAAAATGGAAACCGCGTCCCTCGCGTTCTAGTCCGCGATTTTCATTTTCCTCCAAACTAAATTCCATATCCATTCTTTCACTTGGCTGACGAGGCTCAAAGTCGCGGAATCGAAGCATTCTGGCACTGGCATTGCCGTAAAAATCCGCGTAGCTGAGTTCACTCCCACCAACACTTTCTCCAAAGTAACCCAATAATGGAAATAGGGCCATTGTGCCCAACAAATGCAAGATTCGCATCAACCACATGTTGTCGCCCGAGCGGTTGGAATTTGTCTGATCGTCACTCCAAAACTCGGAGCACGCTTTGTAAGCTCCACGAAGTCGCAGAATTACATGCCACTCGCTCCGGCAATCAAGGTATGATACTTATTTAGTCGGAAAACTAAGCGCAAGACGGAGGCGCGACTTTAACGCTTTGTGAGCTGCGAGCTCTCGGATTCGCAAATGGCAGATGGGCAACGATTGATTGAATAACGATAACTGATTCGCAAAGGATAAGAAAAGAAAACGTGCAGACTTAAAGAAGTGATTCAACAAATTTAAATCGGAGGAGGTGGTGCTTTTGATAAAGTAGGCGCAACAGTCCGCGACGAAAGCGACACGTAAAAAAAGATTTTTTTATTCAATTTGATGTTAAGTTAGAAATATAGCTTTTTACGACTTAACAATCTTAATATAAATATAAAGGCTAAATAAAAATAAACATAAATAACTAAGGACTGATTTTTTTAGTAATTAATTGTTGATTTAAAATGGTTTAACAAGTACAGATAGAGAAGTTTTTTAGTTTTATATTTGTATTATTTATATCTTCTCCAAGTTTAAAAAATGTATTGTTTATGATACAATTTTTTCTAAAATGCACCAAAAATTTTCTCTGCGCAGTGGGAACCTAAGGTAAACTCTACTTATTAGAAAGACATTTGCGAGCAGCTATCGAGCGGAAAATTTGCATATTCCGCGAAGTGTCGCGCTTATGGGCTGCAGTTATGTCACCAACAGTGCGACAAAGGTTAGGTAAACAAAACGGGATTAAGCAAGGGCTCCATGGGAATTATTTGAGACTTTCTTGGTTCCTCATTGCTCTACCAATTTTAACTGCTGAATGTGTTATAGTGTTAAGGTTAGATAAACAACACAGCGTTAGAGTAACGACCTCTAAGAGGCACTTCTTGGTTAAACCTCTCATTTGAAAGTAAGGGTTAAATAAACAATATTTTTGAAATAATGATAGCAAAGATATGATCTTTGGACTGTTAATTATGGTTTAGAAAACAGTTAGGTAAAGGTTAGGTAAACATAAACAATTTAATATAATGACTGCAATGTGAACATGTTGGGTGGTATTTTCTTTTAAGATATTTATCATTATTATTCTTTATGATAAACAAAATGTATAACATTTTTCTTTATAAATTACTTTGCAGCAAAGTATCATACAGCTCACTAAAGTCCGATTTCAAAAAGACATGTCCTTAAAGGTTTGTAGCCAACAGAAAAGTTACCTAATATCACCCCTTTTAAGGCCATAACTTTTCTTACAGATATCCGATTTTGAAAAGGAATGGCTCTATAAGTTTGTGTTTTTATGCTCTAAGAATCTGCGTTTAAAGTTTGGTTTGAAATTTTGGGTCGATTTTCTTGATATTTTAATGATGGTACCCCTTTCCTTTTTTCCAAATATGGGTTTGCAGAAAAGTGACCTAATATAAGCACTACTAAGGTCATAACTTTTCTTACAGATATCCGATTTTGAAAAGGAATAACTCTATAAGAATGGACCGTTTGTACCCAAAACAAAAACTGATTTTCTAAGTTTCCTGTTTATTAAAACTTACAATTTTACGCGGTTGATTTTGATCGGAACATTGGTGGTAGGCTAAAATCGTGTGTGGAATGGGGGGTAGGGGATGTGGATATATATGTACAAGCGACCCGGTTAAATGAAACTAGGGGAAATAACTATCGGAGGAGCGAGCACAGATGGTGGGATCGAATCGTACGAGCTTTTTAGTTCTCCTTTTGATTCTTTGGCGCTGCTTTTCCTTGGTCTTTTCATAGGACCAGGGTTCCGTTCGCTGTGGAGCACTGGGCGGATAGGCGGCCTGATCGAGGAGTCTCATGTGATGGCCACTCAGCGGGAGTTCCGAGTCCGTGGAGTAATTTGGGGGACTGTGAATGGGCGCTACAGTGTGCACCCGTGCTTGTGTTTGAACGGAGTTATTGTTGACGCGGCTGTAAATGCAGGAATCGTGGTACTCCTGCCCAGCAAAACCTCCAGCCACGCGACCCGGCTCCACCTTCTTTTTCTTCTGCTTCTTGGGAATGTTCCGCATCTTGGGCGTCTCGGGCACCTCCTGGATGACGCCCTTGCCATATATCCAGTTGAACGGCTTCTGCCGCTCGCCCATCACACAGCTCTCGTACTGAACTGTGGCATCGGGCATGTGGGGATACAGACTGGGCATGACCCAATCTCTCTCGTCGTACTGCACGGCGGTGTTTGTCACATGGGTGCTCTTCAGTCGCTCCGGATGCATCAACCCGGCCGGTGGAGTGACCCCGAAGTCGAACTCCGCCTCGCTGTCGGAGGTGTCCGTCAGCACAAGGTCATCCTCGCAGGACTCTATTCGCCGACGCTCGCACTCCTTTCGCACATGATAGATCAGCCTCTTCTTGTCCACGAAGCTACGGCAATAGCAGGTCATCAATGGCTTGTGGCAGGAGCACTTGCTGAAGCCCATGCCCTTGAGACAGCGCTTCAAGTCGCGCAGCTCCTTCACCAGCGGATTCTGCACAATGCGGAACTGCACGGGCTTCATGTTCACATAAGGATTGGCGGAGCGCGAAAGAGTCTTGGCATCTTTGAGCGGACGCAAAGTGATGGTGTACACATCGTTCTTCTTTTCTATATGCAGCGTGGGCACCTGCACCAAATCCTCCGGCTTCTCACCTGCTGGAGTCTTCGGTGACTTCTTGTGGTTGTAGTACGACATGTACTTCGAAACGGGCACGTTGTCCACGGGAAAGTCCTTGAGGAAGTAGCGCATCAGGCCGCGAATGGAGCGGCGGATGGCCCCGGGTCGCCAGCCGGGCTTGGAGGCCAGTGGATGGGCTGTCCATAGCCAGCCCATGTGGCTGGGCACCTTCCTGTTGTCTCCGCCATCCAAAGTGACTTTCGGCCTCACCCGTGGACTGTACATGGAGTAATACCTGGACCTGAAAGGACGCTTACTTTTCAAGCGACGCTTCTTAGGTTTTACAACTTGGCAGGCATCCTCTGAAGCTTCGGCATTTCCGCCCTCTTTTCTTTTTGGAGATGTCATCCCCTTCTTGTGTGCCTTGGCCAAATTACAGGCCTCCGTGCAAATTTCCTGAATCTTTTTTTTCTCATCGGGCACTTTAACGTTGAAGAGATCTCTTAGTTCGGCAAAAACCTTGGCCAAATCCTGGGGCTTGGACTCGCCCTCTGGAAGTGCTGGCTTTTTGGTGACCGACTGAGCCGCCTTGGTTGTGGAGGATTCACGAATGCTGCGCCTTAAGAGTTGGTAGTCCCTTACTATAGTTTCAAAGGCCTCCGAGGTGTGCCCGGGGTCATCGCGTTCTCCATCCGCCGAACATCCCTCCACCGACCCGAGGTCGAAGCTGAGATCCTCCACGGGGTTCTCCAGATGGTCCAGCAGGATCTGTTGGGCCGTGGCTGACTCGTCGTAGGCTCGCTCCTTGAACTCCGGCACCGGTTTGTAGCCACAGCAAGGACAGGCGGCCACTTTGGGCAGCCAGGAGACGTCCTCGCCGCAGAGGGCACAGGATCTGGTGTTGCTGATGTGCATCTGTCGCAGTTTCGGGAAGGAATGCTGTTGGCACAGTCGGTTGGTGTTCCCCTCGCCCAGTATGTTTCTCTGGCAGGCGGAGAATTGGGCGGCAGGTGCTGCTGGAGGTTCAAAGGTCACACAACAGTCGTCCACATTGGGACAGGAGTAAACGGGATAAGGTCCCGCCATGTCCACCAGTCGAGGAGGTGAATCCTAAGGGGTTTTATTTATACATAAATAATCTAGGAGTACCTTTAAAGTTTGCCCACCTGATATCCGGCGAAATTCTGGCCCCTATCTTCGCAGCCAGAGGGACACTCCGTGGCCGTAGGCGTGGGCTCATCCATATCGCTGGGCATAAATCCCACGCAGGGATCAATGGAAGAGGAGGAGTAATTGCCACCCGACATGTACGAGATGTCCTGCGGATCCACATTCATGTCCATGCAGCTGGTCCCCTTTTTCTTCCGCCCCCCGGAGCAACATCCCCGCTCCTGGCCGCCCGCCAAACGTCCGTCCGCAACTCTATTGAAGTTCAGGTACTATCGCATTCAGGCGGCTCGAGGATCAGGTCCCTTTGGTGGCGCTACTTACTCTTTGATCGTCTGGCAGCGCATCTGCATCGCGAACCGGATGTTGATGAGGCCGACGGTGCAGCCCTTGCAGGTCAGCTCCACATTGGCATCGTGCACGATCTCGGTGAACTCGTTGATCATGCGGTTGACCACCGCCGCAGGTGGGAAGTAGCAGCCTCGAGCTAAAAATAAGTCATAAGTAACATTTTTGCTAGTCCTGGGTAATATATTAGTTTACTACCTCACCAGTAACTGTGAAAAATGATTATACATGGACTGATTTCAATTCAAATCAAGGCCGTTTTTTAAATTTTGTTTTAATTTTGCTTTCATCATAATTAAAATAAACAATTTGGGGACCGCTTTGACTTAAATTTTATTTTTAATTTAATTTAATCACTAATAAATAAAACCAACAATCCGAAGACCGCTTTACTTAAGATTTACGTAAAAAATTTACATGTTGGTGATCCATAGTCACGTTGATACTTAAATTTCTAAGAATTTGTATTACTTTAATGACGAAGTCGAAATTAAGAGAACAACGCTCCGTTTTTTCGTAAGTTTATTTTGTTCTTAATATTTTTTTCGTGGATTTTGGGGGTAAACGAGAGTAGTGCTGTAATGCTGTAAACACTCACCGATCTCCTTGCGCAAGTAGATCACGGATATGGTAATGCCCTCGGCTAGCTGCCTCTGCAAACACTCGGGTTCCATTTGGAAGGTCTTGTCAGGATTTAAAGGAAGACAGTTGACATTGATGCGACTGTCGTCCAGGCAGATCTTGCATTTACGGCACACATTAGCCTTGACTTGCAACTGATCTCGGCACTTGAAATCCCTGCCAGGCAAATCGAGTCTCTGGACGATGAGCTTGGCGGCAAAACAGCGCATGTAGTCTTTGTTCGGTTTGCCCTTCTGACCAGGAGCCGGGCACCTGGGCTGGTAGACCTCCTCCCGATTTTGAACCGGACACGAGGAACAGCAGCATGAGTTCTTTTTCTTGTCCTTTTCCTGGCTCTTGCCTTTCTCCTGGTAAGTGGAGCAGTGCATGTAGTCCGCCTTGCAACTGGCCAGTCGGGTGCTGATCATCCCGCGATGCTTGTAGTAGTTATCCCAGTCCATCAGCTCCTCCACAGGTTTCTCCTTCTTTTCCGGCGGCGCCGGATTGCAATCTAAAGTCGCCATCCTGAACGGAAATTAATCGAACCCGGGTCGTCCACGAGCTTAAAAATTTCCTTGCACAAATAATTTTAAAAGCGCGCGAGGAACGCCACGATAATTCACATAAAATTATACAATTTAAATGGGAGTTAAGCCTGAAGCGATCGACCTGAACTATCAATAGAGAATGAGTCAGGTTGTCATATTGGCTCAGGAAGTTATGGAGAAGCAAAACTTACGGCATCCTGAGTTATTTTCAATTGAACTTTCTTTCGTAAGTTAATTAATAAAATAATTAGACAGATTCCATTCAAAGACCCTTTTAAGATTCATTAACTAAGAGAACAAGCTAATAAGTTGACTGTAATCATTGATTTTAATCTTTAAATAAGTATTTTAATTTGGATTTTATTTAATTGTTAATATATGGCTTCGCCAAATAAACAAGGGAATTAAATATGCACTCCTTATTTAAAAGTTGCCTCCAAAAAAATCCTTAATAATTTCCTAAGTTATTATTTATTTAACATTCGGTTGTAATTTAACTTATGAAACAGATTAATGTATTAAATCTATAGTAACTAAGAGGACAAGCGAATATGTTGACATTTCGAAGTTATATTTCTAAGTTGCAAGTCCTTAAACTTACATATACAATTGTTTTTTAATGTTCTGTTTTTAATTTGTCATTTTTTATATAAAATTATTGATAAATTGCATTGCAAAAAAATACCTAAACTTGCATTTCTGGGTGGTATAAATTTACCCATTAAGTTTCTTCTACATTCTTTAAAAATCTTGACTATTATTTTTGGTAGTTTCGTAAAAAACTAAGGTGTGTTTCCTAAAGAAGCATTTTAAAGTCCAAAAAATATATATTTTAATATTTTAAGCTTTATTTAGGGAGCCAAAGTCTTCATCTTTCATTTTGAGATTTAAAAGTTGTTGGTCTGAAAGTCAGTACATTTGCACGTAACCCGGGGAGCTGGACCGGTGCCAAGGTCTGTTCAGCGGGGTGGGATCATCGAAACGACGTGGATTGTCGTAGCCGCCAACGTTGCGGAAAGGTAGCTGCTTGCGCGGCTTCTTCTTGGGCGGATTCTTCATCAGAGGCTTCGGCGGAGGGGCGTGGATATTGCCCTTTCCGTAGAGCCAGGGGAACTTCTTCTTGCGCTCGCCCATCACACAGGCGCCGTACTGGACCAGCATGTTGGCCGGATGCGGATACATGGTGGGTGCGGCCCAGTCGTGGTCCACATACTGGGTCTCCACATGGGCAGTGTCCGGTTTCCTCAGACGCTCCGGTTTTATAACGCCCGCGGGTGGAGTGACCCCAAACTCGTACTCCCGATCACTGTCATCATCCTCACTATACGGGGAGTAGACAAAGGAATCGGAGTTACTGGGCCATCCTCGTTGGTGACACAGGTTCTCCAACTCGTACTGAAGGCGCTTCTTGTCGTTGTGACTCCGGCAGAAACAACTGGCCACCGGACGACGACAAGTGCAAGGGGCGAATCCCTTGTCCTGCAGGGCCACTCTAATCTGGCGAAGTCCTGCCGCCACGGGATCTTTGGTGATGCGGAAGACCACGGGCTTCATGCTCGCATAGGGATTGGCACTGGAGGCCAGGCTTTTGGGGTCCTTCAAGGGACGCAGTGTGATGATGTACTCATCACCCTTGCGACTTATGTGCAGTGTGGGATGCTGCACCAAGGGCTCCTCCTCCTTGTTCTTGCGGCACTTGCGACGGCGGTAGTGGTAACGCGACAGGCAGAGATTATCCACTGGATAGTCCCTGAGGAAATAGGTCATCAGTTGGCGAATGGGACGGGCAATGGCTCCCGGACGCCAGGACTTGTGGCGCGCCAACTCGCTCTTGGTCCACATCCAACCCATGTGACTGGGGATCTTACAATAGCCCGTGTATTTGCTGTCCGAGATGCAGTCAAGGTGTCCTATGCGAGAGTCCTTGGGCTGCTTCTTGAGGTTCAGAAAGGTGTAGCTGTGATACAACGTTTATTTTATGATTAAATATACATTTAAGTAATAAACCATCTCACCATCTGGACTTCTTGTGGTGAATGGACTTCCTTTTGGCTCGCACTTTGGGTGGCGAGGGATAGGCCTTGTCAATCTCGTTAAGAGCCTTCTGCAGTGATTTCCTGGCCCTTCTGCGGGCCTTGGCTGTTTTGGTATTCCGGCAGGCGGCTTCACATTCCTTGTGCAGCTCCTGAGCCACTGCATCCGCCTCATCGGCTTCCTTCTTCTTGCCATACATATTACGCATCTCCGTGAAGATCGAGATCAATTGGGCACGACGCTGTGATGTATCCGAATTGCTCTTCCTCAGCTGATTCTGTTCCGGCGAGGACTTGGTCTTGGACACGGATGCCCGTTCATTTTGGGCCTGTGCCAGAGGCTGCACCTTGTTTTCGTTGTCCTGGAAGAAATTCTCGCAGAGTTTGCGGATGCGACAGCGAGTGCAGGGCTGGCCGCCCAGGCAATCACATTGCTTGGGCGCATTGGGATCATCGGTTACTCGGTGTTTCCTCGCCCTGTCGCCCGCTGCCTCATCATCTGCGCCTAAAGAGTCAGACGAAGCCAGTTCACAGGGCTTCTTGCGCAGCGAGTCCCTCAAAAGCTGCTGGGCTGTGGCCGTCAGATCATAGGGCTCCTCACTGGCATGTATGTCCTCGAAGGTCTTGTAGCCGCAGTAGGGACAAGCCGAGATCTTGGGCAGCCAACTGATGTCCGATTGGCAGAGCTGGCAGAGCACCGGTGGCTTATAGGCCTGATGTGTGAGTTCAGGTTCTTTCACGGGACACGAGCCCATTATCCTGCGACGTGCCTGTTGCTCCCGAGAGGCGGTCAAGGATAAGGCCTTTCGCTTCCTCGGAGGCTTCTCCGCCTCGAACTCATTGATGTCACAGGAGGTGGTGTCGGTAATAGGACCAGATGACCTGCACTGACAATGCCAGCGACGAGACTTCTCATGCGAACACGGCGCATTGGGCACCTTGATTTGGTCCAGACCCAGTTCATCAATCAGCTTTTTGAGGGCAGCCCGATCTCGCTTCTTCGCCTCCTTGTCGTCCTGTGGCACCTGCATCCCCGCCAGGTAGCAGCCACATCTGGTGGTTGCACCACCTTTATTATCCTCCATCTCGGCCGCCACATGAGGACATTGGAAGGGTGCCCCGGCATGTGACATCAGGCGCTCATCCGTGATGCAGGCATTGGTTGGACACTTTCCAGATCGTCCCAGGGTGAAGATAATGTCCCTTTTGTTGATCGAATGGTCCACAGGCTTGCACACGTCGTAGCAGCCAAATGGAATCAGGCCGCGGCTAAAAAGTATATAATAATAATATTATAATATGTAATATAATAAGTACATAATCATAATTACAAAAATAGTATATAAATCACTATCTTATATGGCCACAAATCTGTGGATTATGTTTTGGATCTCTGTATAATCAAATACCATGGCTGTGACTAATTAACTATTTTTTGAATGCATTACTTATTTATTTATAAACTAAAAAGTTATGATAATGAAATAAATTTCCATTGGCATTGCTTTGGACAATCTTTTTGCACAATCTAATAACAATTTTTCTCATAAGATTTACTTTTTTTATGCTTTTGAAGATTGTTTTAATAATAATTAAAAATCATTGCTAATGCTTATAGGAACAACTATGGCAAGTACCCACTAAAAATTGCAAACGATTTCATCTACTTACTTGATGTCCGGAGAATCGGCACTGATTTTCAAGAGTAGCTCCACCTCACCAACTTTATTCTTGCCGTTGGTCAGTTCCACCACAATTTGCTGGGTAACCGAGAAGGAGGGATCTGTAAGCTGTCGCAGAATGGAGGAGCTCAGCATGCCCGTGCCGGATCCTATCAGCTCATCGTTCTTCTTTAGGGTTACACCTATGCCCCTAGAGGTCAGCGAACCGATCACCTCGCAGGGACTGGCCGTAAAACCACCCAACTTATCTGCGGGAAACTGATCCACGAACAGCCGTTCCAAGGACAGCTCCTCAAAGTCCTCGAACAACCGCACTGAGTAGATGGGTCTTCCACCTTCGCTAAAACTAGCCGAATTCCGGGTAATCGGCACACTGGAGGTCACCAGAATGACATCGAAGTCATAGCTCTGCGTCATGGTTTTGCTTCTATGAAAATATCGCTAAAATCAAGTTAAGAATTTTCTTCACTGTCTATGGATTTAGCTAAAACTTCTGAAATTTTTCAAAACTATAAAACTCCAGTCTGAATAAAATCGATGTGTACAGAAACAAATATTACAAATAAAGGGACGAAGAATCTATGTGTTAGTCATTTGTCACTTTGCTAATTTGGCAGAGGCCACTTGGCTTCAAAATATTTACCTTGCTTCAAAAAAAAAATAAACAGAAAATATAAAAATGATCTAGAAAATTATTAATCTTAAGGCGCTTTCATAATGGCAAAGTTTTGTATATAATCTAGAAACAAGCAGATAAGCAATGAACTCTAACCAAAAGTATAAACTGTTTTTTTTCTTATCTCATATTAAATTAAGCTATCTTATGATACATAGGTAATTATTAAAAGCTTTTTTTTTGGTAGATTATTAAAAATTGTTTTTTACCCATTAATCTATTAAGTATGCTTTTAATAATGATTTGATATTACGTGCTCTTATCAAAAATTAAGTAATAAGTCTGCCAGTATAAGGTCCACAGAGGTGACACATATATGTACAAGCCTTGTCGCCAAACCATTTGCGCTAAAAATAACTAAATCATAAACATTCTTGCAAAAAATAAGGCACTCGTTTTTTTTTTTTTTTGTATATGAGTAAATGAGTTGCGTATAATTATTGCCAGAATAATTTAAGATTTACACAATGGACTATACGTTTAACAACAGGGATGTGTGTAGCTGGGTAACTATGAATTTGGAACTGCTCTGGTTGTGACAACAACAACAACAACAACAACGACGTGTGTGTGTGCGTAATGCAGGTGCGGTCTGGAGTCCTTGGCCAGGACCTTTTCCGCAGGCAGTTCGTCGAGTTGCAAACGATGGGATGCTTGGAGATCGAACTGCTTATTGCCGGGCATTGATGATGTCCACGAACTCGGGCTTCAGGGAGGCACCTCCGACCAGGAAGCCATCGATGTCGGGCTTCTTGGCCAGCTCCTTGGCATTGGCAGCGGTCACGGATCCACCATACTGGATGCGCAGGGCGGCGGATACCTCCTTGGAGATGTTGTCGCTCAGCCATTGACGCAGGAAGGCGTGCACCTCCTGGGCCTGCAAAGTAGATAAACAATTAGTTAGTTCTGTAAAGGATTAGGGATAGAAGAAAAACCCCACCTGATCGGGAGTGGCGGTCTTGCCGGTGCCAATGGCCCAGACGGGCTCGTAGGCCACCACCACGTTCTTCCAGTCCTTGATCTTCTGGGCATAGGCGCACATCTGGCGGGCCACCACCTCGTTGGTCTTGCCGGCTTCGCGCTCCTCCAGGGTCTCACCGATGCAGGCGATGACCTTGAGGCCCTCGGCCAGGGCATGCTCGGCCTTCTCGGCGATCAGGGCATCGGACTCGTTGAAGATGGCACGACGCTCCGAGTGCCCAAGGATCACCCAGTCGGCACCGATGTCCTTCAACATGGCCGGCGAGATTTCGCCGGTGAAGGCGCCCTTGGCCACCTTGTAGGCATTCTGGCCGGCCAGGCCCATTTCGCAGGGCAGCAGATTGCGGGCGTACATCAGGTAGATGGCCGGGCAGCCGATGACCACCTCGGTGTTGGGGTCCAGGGCGGCCGAACTGAGCGTCTTGGCAATCTCGGCGATCGACTTCTGGTCGCCGTTCATCTTCCAGTTTCCTCCCACGCAGAATTTTCGGGCGCTCATGTTGCTGTTGTTGTCGGTGTTACAATCGGTGCTGAAATTGGCGTAGAACTGCAAAGTCGGGGGTGTAAAATAGTGGAAAGTAAGTCGAGTGTTTGAAACTGGTAATTTCGAGTGACTGGAGGCTCGCCGTTAACTTTTCCGTTTAGTAATTGGCCAAATTTCAGGAGAAATTACCGGCACACACCCACCTCGAAGCTCGTCTGCTGATGTACTAACCTTCTTTTGACCTTCGTATGTCTTCCACTGGCACTTGAAAAGCTTTGGAAAAACAGCTGTGAATTTGCCCAGCAGAGCTTGCGAAACGACGCCTTTTAGTACCTCCGCCGTAACACCACCCACAGTGGGTTGGTTCTGTTCCATGATGAGATGGAACTGGCGGTGCAGGAGGAACGGTATAGAAATGGAAATACGCTGGACACAGTAACTGCAGACTTTGTGGCTAACTGCCGAATGCATCTCTACTTTGGTCCACAAAATTATAGTTTTGTCAAAGACAATAAAATAGTAATTCTAACATTATATAAGCGGCTTGCTGGCATTTTAAAATTTGTTTTGGGGCTCAGCTTAGCAGAGACTTAAACCCACTGGTGGGGGAAAGTGGTTTGGGGTCGCTCCCAGAAAGCTGTGGAAAAGCTTTTAGAACACCAGGCTTGTCATCTCTTGCTACTAAGAAAATGTACTAAAAAAAGATACAAACTTATACCCTACTCTAGAGCATAGATCCCTTTGTGGTACCATAGAACATGGCATCTTAAAATTTTTCTAGATATTTGTTTCGTGCCACACCCACTATATATTTTTTTTAAACCATAATAATTAGTTTCAGTTTGCTTTATTTCTTAATTAAATATTAATATTTACTTTATTTATAACACGTTTAAAATAACCCACAAAAATAAATCGATCTCTTAAATTGTATTCTTGTTTAATCGCTTTATTTAACTTCAACGTTGAAATTCATGTCGTATGGCTTAACTTGGTTTTCACAGACGTTCAGGTATACATAAGCAGACATATACACATCAATATACTCTAACAACATTTAACATATGTACATAATTAACTACTCCATAGAAACGTATTTGACCATACACTCAAAATAAATGCGCGTAGCTCCTAGTCTCTAAATGTATCTGTCACTACCCAACTAATTGATTTAGATCCGATAGAATTTGACAACGTGTTACTTAGTCGTAGAGCTTGAGAGAGAGAGAGAGAGCTAATGAGAGTTGGGAAGTACTTAATATAAAAGCTTTGACTTGCGAGTATTTCCTCAGGGGTCACCCTTTGCCCCTTGCCCATCCTTGTGATCCTTTGCCAATGGATTCTCCAGAGGAACCTGTTCCAAGGAAGGTCAACTCTCCGCACTGGCCGCCAGCAGAGATGGCGAGGAAGTGGTTAGGCCCACTGGAGCCGTCTCCTCCTGCGCCATGGGCGGCGGCGAGGGCGTGGGCGTGGAGGCCGAGGACGAGGCCGTCGATGAGGTGGGACGGACGGCATGTGGCTGGAGGAAGTGGAACAGGTTGGAATGCTGCATGAAGCTGCCCACCGATCTCAAGGGACTGAAGAAGTTCTCTGGCGCTTGACTTTGGGTCTGATCCCTCTGATCCTGTTCCCGGCAGGGATGACCGCTCTGCTCCTCGTGCACCCCTCGTCCTTTGGCCAGGGCACTACAGTTGCAGGACCTGCTCTTCTTCAGTGAGCTCCTAGTCAGAGCCGTGCCCTTTCGATACTTGGGCTTGTGGCCATTGGAGCCCGGACTCGCCTCACTGTCGATCACAAAGACGCCAGATTCCTTGGTAGCAGAAGCAGCAGCAGTACTTGCCGTGGATCCAGGCAGGCAGTGAGCGCTATTGGAGTTCCCAGCAAACAGCTTGGCCCTCAGAAGCGCCGGAAGTGGACCATTCGTGGGCGAGGTTTGAATGGACAGAGGTCTATCCCTGGACTCGCCATCTACAGGATGCTCCTGAATGTGACCCATTGGCCTGGAATCGGTGTCATCGGAGCGCAGTTTCTCCCGCATGACCAAGGCCAAGGAGCGACGTAGCTCCACAGGATCTATGCCAGACTGTGAGGGATAAGGAACTGAGTTGGCTGGCACAAAGACGTCCTCAAACTCCAGGTCATCATCATCGTCGTCATCGTCTTCATCCTGACTAAAGCTAAAATTGTGGTTGTCATACGAGGCGGACGGAAGTGAGGGCTTGACTTGGGAAGCAGCAGGAGGAGCAGGTGGGACCGTGGAGCTGCTATTCCGCTCACTGCTGCCCTGGGAAGCCGGAGCAGGTGAGGGAAACTCATAGCTGGTCTCACCCAGCTCCGCCCCACTGGAGGCCTCCACAATGTTCCACATTTCCCGCTCTATCTCAGTAGTGACCGAGGCCACGGCGGCCACTGTTTGATTGATGTTGTTGAAACAGGGCGAGACCACTCCGCACTTGGGCAAAAGCTGGGAGTTCTTCAGGGCCTCCTGCTGCTGCCTCAGCCAGATGGGTGAATCTATGGACGGGAAGAGTCAGAGTTATAGGGTTTTCCTTTGCAAAACATCCAGCTAGACAACGCGCACTCACACTCACCCACATAGAGGCGCGGCTGCGTAGAGCGCATATTGGAGTCCATGGACTGCAGACGATGCTGACTGGCCACGGAGAACCGGTGGATGGCCTCGGCCTGCTGATCGATGTCCACGCCCATCATCTTCAGCAATAGATTCTTCAGGGCAGCCCGAAAGTCCTTCAAGTGGTAGGCATACAGTACCGGATTCACCGCAGAGTTCAGATGCGAAAGTATGATGCAGAACAGCGTGAGTTTGGGATGCACATAGCAGTCGGGACAGAAGGCCTTGATGCAGTTGATCGTGTACAGCGGTATCCAGCAGATCATAAAGAACAGCACTATGATGGACAGGTTCTGGGTGGCCTTCACATCCCGCTTCCTGGCGGCCCCCAAAACCCGCAACATCGTTCCCGTGTGTCCACTTCTACCGGGCGTGGTCACTTGCACCACGGCCGCCGAGGAGCGACGACTGAGATCCGAGGCGGGGTTCATCGTAACGATCTGGCGGACCTATAAACGTAAGGGTTTATTTGAGAAAGATCAAAACCGTTTAAAATCCATCCCAAAAACCAAATTTGTAAAGCGAAAATAAAGAAGTAGTAACCATAACATGTAAAGGGTAAGCAAATAAATATTGTATAATTTTAAAGGGTCAACTATATGTATATATATTTATTATAGCCATAACAGTGCCAGTATCAGTTTCTCAGTTCCCTAAAAGAATTCTCACCTGTTTGATAATGACGCGATAGATGTGCGTGTAGAAGGCCAGCATCAGCAGAGCCGGAGTGATGATTGTGGCAAAGTAGAGGAAGACGAGGTAGTTGTAGTCCATTACCTCAACGAAGAGGCACTCCTGGTTGTGCTGCACGTCCGCGTGCCAGCCAAAGAGGGGCAGGAAGCCCACTATTGTGCCGGCCACCCAGCACATCGATATGATGACTGCAAAGGAAAAAGGACAAGGACTTCAAATAAAGGGTCATGAAACGAAGCCCTTCAAGGCGAGCTTCCCCAGACGTCATATGAGAAAACTGCAGCCATGCCCTAAAGACAAATGCTTGACTTTGCTCTGTTTTTTTCTCAACAGAGCTTGTATATTAACTTTTATCTAGCATCGGGAAACTCAACTGTCGAAAGGGTGGCTTCTGACCAAATGACGTAAATAATGTGCTTATTAATCTCTCATCTTCTGAAAATCTACATTGTTTCTTTTGCAAAGAAGTATAAAATAATATATTTCATTATCTGCAAAGGGTATTGTGCTTTATATAGCATCATTTTCTCATCTCCTTTAATTCTAAGTATATTGGCAATACAAACTGTCTATTTATAGCTTGAGACTTTAAGCTCAGAAATGGAAATTGCTAAAATTGAATATATAATATTGAACTGTTATTTGAAAAAATGCATTCTTTATTTTATATTCATAAACTTAACAGTGGGTCCATTGGGATTTAGTTCAATATTAAAATTAACTGTTAAGAACTTTTATTTTTATGGACATCTCCTCTGGCATCTGTTCAATTGCAGTGCGGATGGGCAGCCCTTTGTCTAAGCCAAGCCACAACTCAAACATGGTCGATGGCAGGAAAGAAGAACAATGTGGTGTATATTAGCCATCCAGAGTCATTAGCATTCCAGCAACAAAGGCGCAATTCTAAACAATGGCCACCACAAAAGCGAGAATGCCTTGACAATATACTGGCAAAGGGTGGATTCAAAAGGGGTCTAAAGAGGTACTCATTGAAGGAACTGAGGCAGAACTAACTGAACCTAAAAAATGATCCAAGAGTTTGGTACTTACATATCGCCGTGCGGGTGCGGACATTACGTGAGTAGGCCATGGGATAGAGGATGGCCCAGTACCGATCCACGGAGACGGCCACCAGGCAGAATATGGAGATGGTGCACAGGACCACCAGCAGCGAGACGGTGAAGAGGCAGGCGTGAAGATTGCGCGGTAGTCCTATGGAGGCCAGGATGGCGAAGGGTATGCCCAGGCTGCCCACCAGTAGATCGGCCATGGCCAGCGATACTATATAGTAGTTGGTGCGGCGGCGTAGCTTTCGTTCGCGGCGGAAGACGATAATGACCAGGACATTGCCAATAATGCTCACGATGGCAACCAGGACCTTTCGATAAAACATATAAATAAAATTTATAATTTTATGAAATAAGGTACAAATATTATATACGAACCTCGAAGACGGTATAGGGTATGTTTAGCTCCGAACTGGGACTGTCCTTGGCATCCTTACTCGTGGTGGCCTCGTGCAGCGGAAGCAGGGGTCCTTCGAAGGAGAAGTCCGTGATCGAATAATACCGAAAGGCGGACATTTTGGAAGGTATTCTCCTAGGTTTCCCCTTCCCGATCGAGTATTTAAGGCTAGTATCAAGCTAATGCAGGGTGAAACAGGTGTGGGTTTCAATTATAGTGTCCGCTGGCGTGTGAATTCCTTAATTGACTCGAGGTGGCCGTGGCAGTAGCAGCGATAGTAATAGCACATGCTGCGCATTGCGTATACGCCATGCCCGCCGCCCTGCGGTTGCTCCTTTTTCCGCTTCGCTTTCGTTTTTGCTTTCTATTTTTCTTTCTGTTGATGTATTTGTTTTTTGCTGTCGACGTACTGTATTTAGCTGGAATAAAAGGGAAAACTTAATCATCGTTCGGCACGTTTGTTACACACACGCACCAACTTAATTGTAGCAATTTTTAAGAGCAATAAATAGATAAATATTTGCCAAAAATACATGTCGATATCGATAACGTGTGCGGCGAGCAAAACAACAAAAGGAAATAAAGCCGTCACCCCAACTATGTTATACTCTGGATAATCAGATAGTACTCGAGTCTATTATTCGCCAGAGGCCATCAATTTCAGAACTCCCTTGAAGTAGGTCCAAGGATTACATTG